CAGAGAGGCGTGGCGACGTTCCCGCACCAAGGAAGCGCACCACGAGCTCGGATGCCGTCGGCGAGTGGGAGGCGAAGCGAACGCGGTCGCCGCACCCTTCGGAGGCATCGCTGGCTTTCTCCCCACCTGCTCTGGGCGCGACAGGACAGACCAGACGGTCGGGGGAGCGGGCTAGCACCCCCGCAATGGGGGGACATCCCGCCAGCTGCTCCGGTCAGCGTGCCTCGAGCCGGTGGTCGTGGCGACTCATGGGCCGATCGGGAGCCGGCCGGGTCGACTCCCTCCCGGTCGAAGTGAGGGGGCGTGGCTCACGACCTGTGAGCGGCCCTCGTCCAACGGGCCCATTGCCAGCGGGTCGGAGCTTTAGAGATTCATAGGTTTACCCCCTCACAGGTCGACACATATTGAAGTACAGGTCAGTCGCACTCCAAAAAACTCAGCTATGAGATAAAAAAAGAAATAAAGAATAGTTATGAATTTTTTAGTTGTAGAGATTCATAGGTTTACCCCCTTTGCATCACAAACATGTGTATCTTCAATATGTCATTAATTAGGTAGGAGAAACCTTAACTCAAGCAATACCAACTATTGTTGTAGCTTATGTGCCATGATGCATAATCTAGATTTTAGCTTTCAAAGTTTGATTTTATTAGTTGCATCAATTATTTGATCCATATTTTTTAATAGGCATTATTGTATAGTTTATTTAAAACTCTCCTTTTGTATTTTATTAGAAATATGGGTATTAAGTCTCAAACTAAACTCTTAGTTACTAAAAATGCATAAACAATTGTTTGAGCATTATTCTAGATGTTGAACTTCCTCTATCAAGATAGATTCATCAAAAATATATAAATTTATCATTTTCTGCATGCACGTATAATTGGCCTACATATGGTGGCAAACACAGCATGTATATTTAGGGCCAGATTGTTACAAGTTCACTCTCAGCTTCTTCAGAGTGGATTCTTTGAATCCCTACCAAATAGATAAACTGTATTTTGGTGGAGATGGATAAGAATAATCACTTCTCCATTTACGCTACGAACTAGGAGCTAAAAAACCCGTTCTCCACAGCTCCCCATTCAATTACCAGTAGAACCACTCTAGAATTATTTCTCACCTACCTTCCAGCCAGAATCAATTCATCAGAGAATCAATAAGGTGAAACTCAAGAATCAAGAACAGAAACTCTACCAAACTGGCCCTTACTTTTAGCTAGTTACTTTTGTATACTATTAAGAGTCTGTTTGGCACAGCTCAGCTTCACTAGTGAAGCTGTTTTTTTGGAAAACAACTTCACAAGTAGCTTTTTTAGTGAAGCTGAGCTATTTTAGAAAAAGTGTTTGGCAAAATAGCTACACTAACAGCTCATGAGGGAGAGGGCTGGGATAAACTACTATTTTCAGCTTCATCCCAGCTTATGTCTTTGTGAGATGAGGAGAAAAACAGCTTTATCTATGAAACTGTTTTGGAAATGAGTGTTTGGCAGAAAAAAATAGCTTACAACGGCTCATGAAGCTATTGTGAGCTATGCCAAACAGGCCCTAAGAGATGTAGAAGTGAGTATTTATAAATGTATATAGGCTTACTTTATGTCTAATATTAGATGCTATTAATTTAAGAGTAAATTTGTGTGGATATTTTAGTTTATTTTTAATAATGGTAGAGGTAGATTAAGATTCAAAAGTAGCTTTATATTTTTTATAATTGTAGAGGTGAATAATTTAGATAATATTTAATAATGGCAAAGGTGAATAAGTTCAATTCATATGAAGATTTAGGGGTTTACTTTATATCTTTCACAATGGCATTGGTGGATAATGTGGATGAAATTTTAGGGGTTTACTTTATGTTATATTTTATACTGGTATATGTGGTCAATTTTATAAAACATAATAAATATAACAACTTTATTGTCAGTGAAAAATAGTCTACCAAAATAATCGCTAGATATTTTTAATCTTTGTGAGAATATCTAGGATTTATTCTACAATTAAGATTATGCTAGTTGCTATATCTTGTGACTACATTGTCTCTTCATGAAGAGAGATGGTTCTCCTCTTTCTCCTCGTTTACTCTTTGCTACATAGATGGATGTGCTTATGTGGTATTCTCCTAGACATCTTTTTGATGTTATACATGTCCTAAGCATCCCTCCATTACATGTTGTTAACACCTTCAAATATATTGGATCTGAGTTTGACCTAAGTCAAACTACCCTGAGTTTGACAAAGTTTATAGATAAGAGATGAAAGCCTCTAGGCCCCTAATTCAGTTTTGGTGATTGATGATGACACAATAATTGTGACTAACATATTGCAGCGACATTACTTAGTGAGGTCACAGTGATGATAATTGATTAGGGGAATCATGGTTTTCATGTCCGTAATGATAGAATTTGTTTCCGTTTTCAAAGGATGAGTGACAAGGCTAAGGACAAACCAGTTCTAAGTGTCATTTGGTGTCGGCAGGCACTTAGAGTAGTATATGATTTGTTTTATCTTTTGGCCATTCTATTAATAAGGTGGGTATGAATGGATAGCTTGACCTGTGTAAGTCTCATGAGTAGATATGGTGCACACTTTTCAAATTGACTACTGAATAAGTACTCGCTGATCTTTTTGTCCATACATTTCAGGATGTACATCAGCAAACTCCCATTGATGATGGTATTTTTCCCAAGTATCGAGAAACGAGAAGCTCATGTTTCTCCTAGTCCATGTTGGAGCCCCTCACAAGGGCCAACCTCCTGACGTGTAAGTCCGTGGATAGCCCCCATGCCTTCTCCACATGCAAGTGAGTCTCCAAGATGGCCTCCCTCAGACCGCTCCTCGCCATCATCACTATCGAGCTTCTGACTTAAATGTGGCGGGCCTCATTCCCGTTGGTACAAGCTTGGTAGCCACACCACAAATACGATTGGTGTGATCTCATAAGATTACAAGCCCCTAGTGTACAACAATGGTGCATGCAAGCATCAAGTGACTGCACTCATGCAGTGAGCACCAAAACTCCCCGGTGGCCCCACTAGAACTTCTGGTGGTACCATATGGACTAGTCATTGCTGACCATTGTAGAGCCTTCTCCAGTGCTTTTCTCTGGTGCACCACCCGAGTTTCCCAATGCCCTCTAGAACCTTCTGTATAGATTCTGCAGAGCATGTTGATTCTCCTTTGCCCAATCACCAAAGGTTTTCGGTTCCCTTTCACCGAGAACTTCCAATGCCTTGTTCTTCTTCCCCTATTTGCATAGTAGCCTAAGCACTAGCTGTGACAAAGAGTGCATCATCATAGTTTAATTTTTTGGTGCCTTCTGGATGGTACTACATAGCCTTAGAGTGGCATGTTGATTCTCCGGTGCGCTATCACCAGACCATAAGTTTCCTGTCATAGAGAACTTGTAGTGCCTTCTTCTTCTTCAACATGTTTGCCCATTAGCCTAAGCTCTAGTGCTGACCAAGAGTGCATCATCAAAGAAATCCGGTGCTACATGTAGTGCATGATGAGCTCTATTTCTTCGTATCTTCTCGTTCAGTCTTCTTCTACTTAATGTCTTGGACTTCTTGCGCGACTTATGTGGTCTTCAACAGTGCTCCATGTCCTTGGTTGAGGTGTTGATCACTTGATCTTCACATTGCGTTTGTGCAAGTCCATCCTTGCATCCATTGACCTAAAATACCTTGTATACTAGCAAACCACGTTAGTCCAAATGACTATGTTGTCATACAATCACCAAAGTCACTTATGGCCCTAGCTAGGTTTCATTTTTCCTTATAGAAAGCATTCAGGCTTGACAACATGTAGTATCTGGGGCACATGGAGGACTCAAACGCAGAGCACTCACATTTAGACTTCAACTACGACTAACCCTCCGTCCAATTCTCCGATTCAAAGGCTCTGTGGTTACTGTCGACAATATGAGCCCTGGGTACCCACCGAGGCCCAAAGTGGCACCCTAGCAGGGGGTGGATTGGTTTGATTGCTTGGACGAGGAAACAGACTGAGGGGCGCCTCACTGATTTTATGAACAAGACACATAGGCAAGATATACATAGAAATTGACTCAATCAGTTGTAGACGACCAGGAAACCTACTTCTTGTAGTAACCTAACCCCTCTGGAGTATATATGGAGGGGTAGGTAGTCCCTGATGGGGAATCATGAAAAGATCCTAGACCTCCTAGTTGTGATCCCCTACTGGCAACCACACCTACAGTGCATGGCTCACAAGCAATTAAAACACCCATGATACATTGGATGTAGGGCACTCCATTGTTGATCCAGTATAAACCTATGTCTTGTGTGCTATCACTATAATCTACTACATGTGATACATATATTACTAGTCGAAGGTAAAAAAAAACACTGGTTGCTATTTCTTTGTTTTCTAATTAGGGTTTGGTAAAGACTTCTCAATCTCGTTTCTTGTGTTTACATCTAGTTTAGATTTCTAGTTTCTTTGTGTTCTTGTTCTAGTATTACAAAGACCTTTCCAGATCATGTGGCTCAACAATGTCTCTGATAAAATCATAAAATATTAACTAGACAACTTTAATCCCTTCCAGACGTACAGCCACTGGGTATCTGGACATACACAACCATATGCATGCAGACAACCAGACGCCCATTGGACTTGGACATGCATGCTCACATGGACGCCTGACGGCCTGAGATGGGACATGACAAAGATTTCCACCTAGCTAACCATACAGAAGAAGACATAAACTAGTAAAGGACCGACGTCCAACTAACATGTGCATGGACGAACAGAGAGTAACGTACAAACGTACAGGTCATATAATTGGTCTCACTGAGTCGACCAAGACGGTTATCAGCAATAAAAAGATATATTGGATAATGACGACAGCATATTATGGGTGCCTTTCCCATTGCGTCCCTCTTGCCACATGGACTATATATATGTCTGCACACTCAGAGTCAGATCAGTCCACGCAACCATCTCCTACTACGTAGCAGCTGCTGCACCAACTCGATCGCCATGGCGGAGCAGCCCGTGAGCCCTGTGGAGAGGCTGATGAAGGACCTGTACGTGGTCGTCTCCATCGGGCTCGCGACGCCACTGAACCTCGCCGTCTTCCGGGCCGGCATCGAGGCCCAGCTCGCTCGCCACCCCTACTTCCGGAGCATCCAGGTGACGGACGACAAGGCCGACGGCGGCAGCGGCACGCCGCGGTGGGTGCCCACGACGGTGAACGTGGACGACCACATCGTCGTCGTGCCGGCGCTGGACTCCGCCGCCGACCCGGACAAGGCCGTGGAGGACTACCTGGCGTCCCTGTCCACGCTGCCCATGGACCACACGCGCCCGCCCTGGGACTTCCACTTCCTCGACGTCACGACCTCCGAGGCGGCCTCCACCGTGGCGCTGCGCGTCCACCACGCCCTCGCCGACGGCATGGCGCTCATCACGCTGCTCATCTCCTCCTCGCGCAGCGCCGCCGACCCGGCCAAGGCCGCGCCCCTGCCCCCGCCGCCCGCGCGCACCGGCGCCGTCTACGCGCCGCCAGGGCAACAACGACGACCGGGGTCGTCGTCGTCGTCAGCGCTGCGCTGCGGCTGCCTCTCGTTCTCGCGTGGGTCTGGTCCTACCTCGTGCTCGCGTGGCACACCCTGGTTGACGTTGCCACCTTCGTCAACACCATCTTCTTCCGCGGAGACACGGAGACGCTGTTCAAGCGAGCAAACCATGGCGGCGGCGGCGCCGACGACTCGCACCGCCGCATGCGTTTCGTCCACCGGACCTTCAGCCTTGACGACGTCAAGTTCGTCAAGAATGCCATGAACTACGTACGTACATATAAGAGCGCGCAATTTTATTGTTTATTGTTTCAATAATTCATAATTTCAAATGGGAAAACAAACACTTATCGCGCCCAGACTAATAATCAGTATGAACATAAAACTTAATATTAGACAATAATATATATTTATTGTAGAATTAAGCCCATAACTTAACTTAGTTTGGCCCAAAAGTCTTCATCATTAAACCCAGGAGTACTATGCAACCCAGCTGCTTAAATTAAAAAGAAAAAAACAAACTCATTTGCGAACCGGACCGTATTCGGCCCAACCCAATAACAAGCATGTGCATACGGACGATTTTAGGTCCAAAAACTTGAGACTGGACCGGGAATTTGTCGTGAACGTGGAGCTACAAACACAACCGAGGGATGCTATTGTATTTGTTACGGACTCTTTAAATCAATTTAGGCCATTAAATTAAATGATCATTCCACTCAAAAAAATTAAATTAAATGATCATAAATATAATGTCATTAGCATAAGTTCTAGTTGATGTAAATTAATTTTTTTATTAGTCAAGGTCCCTAATAATAAATTATCTTTGACCGTCAAAAAATTCTAGTTTTATCGTAAGTGAATTCCTCCTATTTATTCTCCAAATTTTTTTACCGTCAATAATATTGTCAAACGCAAGTCTCTCATATATATATAATATATTGAGCTTTGTCTCTCCATGTATTTGGTCCAAAGGCACCATTTTATTTACTTATGTATATATGCTCTTCTAAAATATCAAAATAATGCCAAAAAGAAAACAAACTTCAACAAGTCAAGTCAATAATATTGTCAAATGCAAGTCTCTCATATATTCTGTGTCTCTCCATGTATACATATAGACTGTCAATGATGTGCTTATTGGAATAACTTCTGCTGCTCTATCACGATATTTTTTTCGGAGGACTGGTAAGTGTATATAATGCCTGTCCCAGATAACAACTTATGTAAATATGCATGGTTTCTACACACATTACATTTCTTATCTTGGGTGTCAGGTGACACAAAGACAAGGGAAATAGTATTGCGATCAATACTCCCTGTCAACACAAGGCCAGCCGCTAGCCTACAAGTAAATGCCAGAGATCCCTTTTTTTCATTCATATATATATATATATATATATATATATATATATATATATATATATATATATATATATATATATATATATATATATATATATACTACTTCCTCTGTTTCAAATTATAAGACATTTTGACATTTCTAGACATAGTTTTTGCTATGCACTTAGATATACACTATGTCTAGATACATAGCAAAAGCAATGTATCTAGAGAAGCCAAAACGTCTTATAATTTAGAACGGATGGTATATTTCTTAAAAGAAGGTATTTAATTCACCATAGCTTTTTAAACTTATATACAATTGTTACTGATTATATATATATAAATAAGTTTATTATGGGCAGATGGATGTTAATATGATTGAAACTGGTAAGAGTAATGCTGTGAGATGGGGAAATCGACTGGGCTACATCATCCTCCCATTTCATCTAGCCATGCACGATGATCCACTTGAATATGTTCGCAAGGCGAAACAGGTTATAGATAGGAAAAAGAATTCACTAGAAATGCACGTCGTACATTTGTCTATCGACATTGTCTTCAAAATATTTGGCCCAAAGGTACCATTTCATTTACTTATATATGCTCTTCTCTAAAATATCAAACATTTTGTAGATTACCGCATGACCTAGCTAGCTATACTTTGTTATTATTACTAATCACACTGCAACTTTGTCACTTGAGGCAGGCAGGAGCTTATATCTTCAATAAACTGCTCAGAAACACAACCATGGCTCTCTCAAACTTGATTGGGCCACCTGAGCAGATAGAGTTATGTGGCCATCCAGTTGCCTACATTGCACCTAGCGTCTATGGGCTTCAACAAGTAAGAGCAACCCCAAGAGTCTATAAACTGCAAACTATATATCTATGTTTGGAGAGCCATCCAATAAAAAATTCTTTGTATATCTCTCGTGTCTCCGACAGACTCTCTATTCTACATTTATATACTCCAATAGCTTATCATAATTTCTTTGTGTGAAAAAACCACGAGAGAACTATATACCATATATTGAATTTAGAGAGTGGTGTATATATACAGTGCATATATATACAACGGCCTCAATTAAATTGTCACTGAAAAATTCAACTAAAGACTAAAGAGAGCATGTAAGACCCTAAAATTATTCCATTGCTCAAGGAATTGAATTAAGTGTGCTACAAAGTTGTTTTTTCCCTCCAATTGTTACATTGTGTTTTCGGATTGTGACACCTTGGGGGATTGAAACAAAACAAAAGTGCAAGAAAACATTAATAAAAAATTTTCTAGCTAGTTATGTTTTCCTCACGAAATTTTTTCACTTGCCTTTTACTCTTTGCAGGCTATTACAGTGCACTACCAAAGTTACAACAACACCATCAAAGTCGTTCTAGCTGTTGATGAGGCACAGTTTCCAGATTCTCGCCAACTCTTGGACGACTTCGCCGAGTGCCTCAAGCTTACCAAGGACGCCGCTGCAAAGACGATGTCAACGAAAACGATTAAGAACGAGTAAGGAGCTGGGTGAATGCTCCAGCTCAAGAGCTAGATATACATACATACATATATATATATATACATATATATATATATATATATATATATACATATATATATATATATATATATATATATATATATATATATATATATATATATATATACATATATATATATATATATATATATATATATATATATATATATATATATATATATATATATATATATATATATGTTTGTATATGTTGGTACTTACTGGCCTGGTACTAATATAGTGCGTACGGTGTACCACGATAATATATGTGATATCGAGTAATTAGTAGTAATGTGTGATGTTTATTGTTATTGTTAAATATTTTTTTAATACATAAAAGATTTGCTCATTGTATTAATTAAGGTAGAAGAAGTTTGAGCATATATCAACGCGCTCTGTGTTCCAAGCGCCCTAGAGGAGAATTAAGCAACTTGTAGCGGCCGTTCCGCTCCTTCCAAAGTTGTTCCCCTGACACTAGAGCGAACAGGGTGTTGGCGCCGCGCTTCTGAGCTCCATTCTAGGTCACCGCAACCATTTCCACAATCGACAATGCAGTAGCCAGTGGTATTTGCTTTCCTAGGGCTACGAGCACATTCCACCAGACCTGCCTTGAGAATGTGCAGAACACAATATATGATGTGGTCGATGGACCCATCGTCTTCCTTGACCATAGAGGAAGTAGTGCTCATTTGCCTCCAGGCCATGCCTTTGCCTCCAACAGTGTATCCTAGATTAAAACTGACGCATGTACCCTCACTTCGTTTTCTTATATCAGTTTAATCCTCATTTGTATACACATTCGCATGACCAAAGGAGAATTGCTTGATAAACGCCAAATAACAATACAAGACCTACCGAAGTTGTGAGTCTATTTAATGCAATGGTCCTTCTGTCCCCCGAAATCTCTTGTATTTCAGTGCAATTTTTTGATACTTCTATCTACTATGCTACGTGTGATAGAGGGGTAGGTCTTAATCAAATTGTTTTGAGTTAAGTGCAACTGAGGATGCGTAGATTTTAGAGGATCCCCCTTCCATTATCTTTGAAACTAATAGAAATATGTATTACTAAAAAAGGCTCTAACTAGTCCAAATAAATAGCCTAATTTATAGTCAAGCTTCAAACCTGAATTATCCAACCACACAACTAATAAAAAACTATTAGCTAGCTGTCTCCCTAGCTATCGCAATTTTAATTTGCGACTATAAAAATATTTGAGATCTAGAAAGAGCACTCTCCCGTTATCAAATGCTTAGGGCATGTTTGCTTGGGAGCCTCCAGGCAACCTGCTGCCCAGACAGTGATCCTGGCTCCAGGCAGTCGAAATCGGACGCCTCGGGTTGCAGCTCCTGCCGGGCAAGGTTGCCTGGATCCAACCAAATAGGCATTTACTCCTTCCGGTTCAATTTATAAGGCATTTCGCATACATCAAGAGTTAAACTTTGTGATTATTCACTACGGGAGAGGTAAAATTCCCCGAGTGTCGCTGGCTTCCCCGAGTGCCAAAAATCGGGTACTCGGGAAAGAGAATCTTCCCCGAGTGTTGCACTCGGAGAAGAATTGCACTCGGGGAAGAGAGGCTTTCCCAAGTGGCATAGAGATCCTGGCACTCGGTAAAGAGCAGCACTCGGCAAAGGCCCTCTTCCCCGAGTGCAATACTCGGGGAAGATCGGCACTCGGCAAAGAAACATGTTACTTGACGGTCCACCCCGCCCACGCCGTTAAAACTTTTAAAAAAAAATTCTTCCTCGAGTGCTTTCCCTGGCACTCGGGGAAGAGGCTGCCTTCCCCGAGTGCCAGGGAAGGCACTCGGGAAAGAAATTTTGTTTTTTTTGTTTTTTCTGCCTAATTTTTTTGTGAGGTCTTCCCACATTATTTAAAACTATCTGTTCAAATTTGGGATAATTTTGACTTTTTTTGTTATATTTCGTTAGTTTTTTTTGTTTCGTTGAATTTTTTTGCATACTTCGAATTTGAACTGCAGGCGCATGAAATAATGGAATTTGGTGATTCAAAAAATTATATTAATGATATTTGGTGTATGTTGAGGCCTTATCCGGAATTTGCATGAAATGTCGAGCATCTTGTTGGCGTAATATATCACATGCGAACAACTGCGGGTTTTAGGGAAAGTGTACTTTTAAATTTATAAAATCCGAGCGAATCGAAAATCGAAAATGACAGCGCTCGATTTTATATAATTTAAATACACTTTCCCACAAGTTGTTCATCATGTTATCGCATTTCATGACTTCATGGATAAGGCCTCAACATACACCAAATATCATTAATATAATTTTTTGAATCACCAAATTCCATTATTTCATGCACTTAGAGCAAGCTCAAATCAAGTATGCAAAAAAATTCAACGAAACGAAAAAAAAAAAACTAAATAAATATAACAAAAAAAGTCAAAATTGTCCCAAATTTGAACAGGAGTTTGAAATAATGTGGGAAGGCCTCACAAAAAATTAGGCAGTAAAAAAAAAAAAACAAAATTTCTTCCCCGAGTGCCTTCCTTGGCATTCGGGGAAGAGGCCCTTTTCCGAGTGCCAGGACAGGGCACTCGGGGAAGACTTAAAAAAAAAGGCCCAGCAGGCCTTATCTAAACCTAACCGGCCACCCACCCGGCCACCCCACACCCGCACGCCGCCCGCCAGCCCGCCCACCCGTACGCGCTACCCCGCCGCTGCCGTTTTAATTTTTTTTTTCCATTTTTAAAGGTTCAATTTTACAATTTTAAATTGGTGTAGTTGTTTTAGTTATTGTATATGTAAATATATTTATAAAAAATAATTATAAAATTTTGTACTATATTATTTATTATTTACATGATGCAAATACAAAGATCCAATGGAATTATTTTCGTTTTGCAGCAAGATAGAAATCGGGGTAAAAAGAAAGCGTAAACTCTCCTTCGCTCCTTGCTTGGATTTTGGCCCAGCTAAAAGAAAAGCCCACACACACGCTCTCCGTACATGCCTGCTCGGGCTTATCCACTCATTCCCCTCCGCGTCTCGCTCCCAAATCGAACGACTCCGTAAAAAAAATCGAGCGACTTCCTATGCGGCGGCGGCGGCTGGCGGCTCTCGCTGGCGGCGGCGAAGTGGCGACGTGTCCTGCGTGGGCGAGCGGCGACTCCTGCGTGGCCGGGCGGCGTCTCCTGCGGCGGCTACGGCTCCTACGGGCGAGCGGCGGTTCCTGCGGAGGCGACGGGCGGCTTCTCCTGCGGCGGCTCCTATGCGGGCGACCAGCTTCCTGTGCGGGCGGTGGGCGACGGTTCCAGCGCAGCTGCGCTCGTGCTCGGCGCCGACCTGGACCACACTGCCACTGTCGACGAGGTGAGCCCCAGCGCCGACCTGCCCCGCATACGGCCATCCCCTTCCTTTTGCGAGGGCTGCCGGGGCTCCACATCTACACAGCCGCAGATCCACCGGGTACCCAGGCTACCGGCAGCCTGCACAGACCACCCTCCGTCTTGATGTCGCCCTGGAGTTCGTTCTTTTAGTTGCTATAGGTTCTTTTTTATCTGATTCGATAGTAGGATCTGAAACCTACAGATTCCGAGGTCAGTTCTAAGATGGGGACATGGTATTGTTTTGATTTCAGTTTTGGTTCAAAACTAGTGGCATTGCTGGATTCAATTTCAGATAAGCTACAAATTTAGTGTATATTTTTTTGTGAGTGCATATCTTTGTGTAGTGATCTGAAAAGGGTTCTTTTTTGTGGTAGCAACAGGTCTATATATTTACGATTAGTAGTTGTGAACTAAAATATTTATGTGATATAAAACACATGTGTTCTCCGAATTGTTGGGTCTCACAGCACTTTAGATCATTGCTGAGTTAAGGAACTGGACATTTTGTGATTTCTGCAGATAACATCCATATATAGCTAAATAGATTGTTGTACCTTTTTTCAGGTTTGATCTGAGTAGCTTGTGCCTTTTGCTTGGCTGGTAAGCTCCCTTCATTGCCCATGTGAATGGTGAATGTCATTCATTTATAGCTTCCTCCTATGTAAGAATCTGATGGTCTCTAGCAACTTTTTAGGTATGAATTGAGGATCTGTGGAGGCAACGATCTGTGTACCGTGTAACAGTACTAGCATCGACAGATTTCAAGCAACAAAGCAGTAAGTATCATCAATTGTGCATTTGATTGAGATGACATTTGTGTGTTAGACATTAAGTCGAATGTATCTGTTTGTAAGATGCATGCTTCGTTATATCTTTTTCTGACATTAATTACAATGCCTCTATTGGTTGATTGCTGTGCCAATTTGTTGTGAAACTAAAATATATGTGTTGTTTCTTATCCTTGTTATGTGCAGAAAGTGTGATATATAGAACAATACTTGACTTGTCGGGTGGGGTGGTGCAACAGGGCAGTTTGGGCCTTGCTTGCCAAATACTGGACTTCTGATGAGTACAAGACTGAGTACAAGACAAAGAGACGCAGAGGCCAAGAATCGCGCATGAGTTCTGATGATCCAGCTCAAAATAGAGGAGGTTCAAGAAATTTTGCAGACACAACAGTTCTTGGTATGACAAATGCTTGTGTCTTGATTATTTTAGTTAGGAACCGTTGGAATCTGCAGCTTATAATTCTTGTGCAGCTTATAATTCTGCAGCTAGCTTATTTTAGTTGTGACAAATGCTTGTGTCTTGATTATTTTAGTTAGGAATCGTTGATATCTGTAGCTTATAATTCTTGTGCAGCTTATAATCTGCAGCTTATTTCAGTTATGACAAATTGTGCAGCTTATAATCTGCAGCTTATTTCAGTTATGACAAATGGTTGTCTTTATTATTTTAGTTAGGAACGGGTCAAATCTGCAGCTTATAATTATTGTCAGCAATTTTTCACCAACGTAGCAATTTATGCAACTACAACTGCATATTCCTGTGAAAATACTGTCTCTGAAAACTGAATGGAGACTGAATGATGAAAACTGTCACTTTTTAAGGCTTTTTTTTA